GGACTCGGTGCGTTCTACATAGTCTCCCTGAACACAAGACCAAGTTGCGAGAACGAGGTCAACCCACTTCCTTAATACTAATGCCTGTATGGCCCACTTATCGGTATATTCGTGTATGTCGATTCTACATCAAAACTTATTAAAAAATTTTCTTGTTATATTATTTGCTTGTCTATTAATATTATAAAGTCATAATGATTCTTTATTGAAAATTTACAAAATTAGATATTTGTTTTAATTGACCACAATTTAATCGTTATGTTTTATGTATCACATCCCCCTTATTATTTACGATGATCATACGTGGGACCCCCTCTGTGAATTTTGGGCAGACCATATACATTAGGAGGTCTAGCGTTACGTTGGAGAAGTGCATTTAATTTTCATTTCTCCAATTCTCCACTAATTAACGCATTGTTACAGACAACTCTTAAGTATTGACTTTAGTATTTCTGCAGGGCCCTTAGTTATAATTTTATATGTATCAGCATCATCCTTTCTATATAATCGGTCCTAACCATAACTACCATTGCTCTTCCCTTGTATGCTCTCAAATCCATTTTCTCTTGTTGTCTAAGCTTCTTTGTGATATTATTAACACATTTATTCTTATTTGGTGGTTCTACATGGTTATCAATTAGAGGAAGTAAAGCTCTTACTATCTGGCAATGCATAAGTACGAGTTCTAGATAGAACTTCCTCAGTAGTACTGATGTTTTGGACAGGTTAACCATTTTCCGACCTACCTTGATTTTCTCTTCTCCTGTGGATGAATTCCTATTGTTATTTAAAGATCTAATTCTAATTCCTGGGTTCTTAATTATCTTATCTGACGCAATACTAAGTTCATATAATTTGTCAAGCATTGATTTAAGCTTAAAAAAAACATTTGAATTAAGAGTATAGTACAAATATTGTCTTAGTTTGGTTTTTTACTGACCAAAGTATTTAATCCTTAAATGTATTGAAGGAGTCTTTCTTTAATCAAATCATGAGATACTTTTATAACATCCTTTTTAGTTCTATTTGGCAAATTAAGTCTATCTAGAATACAAAACTTAGAAATAATACTACGCGAAGAGCATACTTTCAAAAATTTAGTGTGATTAGCTTTCCTGGTCATTCGTTTCTTGGTCTTTGTGTAAACCGATGAGTTTCGAAAAGTTTCTGAGATAAAAAGAGAAGCTAGGTTTCGAAGAATATTTTCAAGAATATTTTTGTCTTATTCTTTATTCGTTTTCATTATTTCTTCTATATATATCTTCATGTATCATGGCTTCCTAAACACTAATAACCACCCTCTACTTTTGTTCTGATTGTACTCCAGTGAGAAACAGGCCAGCCTGGAGCGTATTAAGCAGCACCTTACCGGTCGACTTTCTCTTTTAAAGAGTGATGAAGAGGAGCGTCTGGCGTGCGCTTTGTCCGAAAAAGAGGCTGCTTACGAGGCCGAGGTGGAGAAAAAGTCGACGAAGGCGCAGAAACAAATGGGAGAGATCATGGCCAACCTGAAAATGGCCCGAGAGCGAATCAGTAATGAGAAGGAAACAGCCCGAAGAGAAGATATAGAGCTATTAGAGAAGCGATTGGAGGATGACAAAAAGATTAGTGAGTACCAGGAGCAGAAATTAGTTCTCAAAAAAGAGGACGCCAAGAAGCTCGCAGAAACGTATCTCGAGCAAATGGTAAATTTGTTATTCTGTGTCCTCTTTGTTCTCTTTGCATTTGCTAAACATTTAGCTTTAAACTGCAGAAACAAAATCCTTCCAAATGCTGGTAAAAACAATGAAGGATTTAGTTGCTATGATTTCACATCCTCCTATGTCCACACTCGAAATATTTAACTGTTTTTACATAATTATTCATCATTACGACTTGTAAAAATTTAGCATCTAAAAATGTGCTTTCTGGTCTAAACCCTCGTTTAGGCATACATTTACCTCACTGATTAAGTTACCCCCTAATACGCGACACAGGATACGCATTATGTTAGCCACTACATAATCACCTAATCGAATGCTCTAGTAGGGTGACAGTGAGTACAAGAGTGTCTTGAACGAAGACCATATTATTAATACCATAGCTTGCGTTTTCAGGCTCCTACTTTAAACAGATTTATTTAGTGTCTGAATTAATGCTCAAGTATCTGTACACTGAGTCTGTGAAAATTCGATCAGATATATCCCAGCCTGTTGGAATGTACCTGTGAAAGAGGACTGGTCTTAGGAAAGGAATCTGATCTATTTAACGATTCACTAAAATACACTATCTACTCTTATTCTGCCAGGTTTAGTCTACAAATGCGTCATGGTAGATATACACGGTCCGGGACCTAGACCCTTTGCATTATCAAGGACGGTTTAATAGAGCAGAATTCTCTGTTCAATTGATTTTACAGAACTTGTCTACATAGATTTGATATTCCACAGGTAGTTTACCCAAGTATGAAATCACAGTGGACTTTTGGAAGGGAGAATCGATAATGGGCACGATTTGCCCCTTAGATATGAGGGCCAAGATGGCGTGGCCGGCTTAGTCACAGTCTCCTTTAGCATTGTATTGTTGGTTTGACCGCGTTTTCGCAACTTGGTCGGAGTGTCAGAGAAACCTGGTGGAACGTACCTAGTCATGCGTCATTTGCCATAGCATTCGTGATTTCAAGCATCAGCTTATTAACTTTGAGATGTACCAAGCCAATGGCCTGATCCTGGAAATCACGAATACTATGGTAGATGACGCAGGAGTAGGTACGTTCTGTAATTCTTCCCTGGCACTCCGACCGTGTTGCAAAAATGGGGTAAAACCAACACTATGATTAGCTTTTGTTCAGTAAGAGTCTGGAAAGCGGTTTAGTAGCGATAAAACACTCAGTCAAATGTCAGAGCATAACCCGTTCTGAGCATCAAGATATTCAATGTATACATGTATTTTGGATTATCAAGTTTCTTTGCACCCCATAAGCCTTTTCTTATTTAGTCTTGACCATATCTTATGTATTTTTCATATTTAAGTGAAGTTTCGAGACTACTAGTAAATCAGTAATATGAGATGTACTCACCCAATTTCGTTTAAGGTGATAAAGGACTGGTAGAAAAATTTTTCCACAATGATATGAGTAGAGCTGGATCAGAACAACTTTTGGGAAAGCAAGGTTATGTGTAATCTAATGGAAAGGTCAGCTCTACTCATATCATTGTGGGAAATTTCTACTATCAGTCCTTAATTACCTTAAACGAAATTGAGTGAATACATCTCATATGTTATGTGCCTCTTATAAGCATTATTCTACACTCATAATTATGCTTCTATAATCTGATACCAAAGGATAGGATAGTAACTAAAAGATAATCTGAATTAATAGATTAATGAAATAATTTCATAA